ATATATGCAACATTACTTGGGTTTGCAGGGTGTGTACATTCAGTCATGATGTCACCATCTCCCACTAGAGTTGTGAAGGTTGGTGTGAGGGCTGAAACTGCCAGCTAGATGAGAGATCCAACCTAGAAGGAAGGAGGAATTTCCTGACAGAACAATTGATCAGTGGAACCAGAGGTGGTTATTCAGCAGGTTCTGACCAGTTCTGGAGAACCAGTAGTGGAAATTTTGAGTAGTTCGGAATCCCACTTCTGACTGGCCCCGCCCCCATCTCTTCTTTGCCTCCCGAGTCCCAGCTGATTGGCTGGGTCATTTGTTGCCCTGCACAGGAGAACGGAGCTGGAAAGCAGGTTAGTGGGATGGGGGAGAGAATGGAGATTTTACAGTATCCTTCCCCTGCAGCGCCCACCAAGCCATGCCCACAGAACCAGTAGTAAAAAAATTTGAATCCCACCACTGAGTGGAACGACTTGCTCCAGAAGTTGTGGGTGCTCCAACACTGGAGGCTTTCAAGAAGAGATTGGACCATTTGTATGAAATAGTATAGGGTTTCCTACCTGTGCAGGGGGCTGGATTAGATTAGAAGACCTCCAAGGTCCCCGGTTTTTCTGTTAGAAGAGTCTCTGGCTAGATCAGACAGCTACCAAAGCACTGTGTAACTGCTCTCAACACCCAAGGCTGACCACTAGGCAGTAAAATCTTTTATTTTAACTCCCGTAAGAACAGGAAAGAATTTAAAGCTTGGAGCTGGCATAAAACTACAGGAAAGTCCCTAGATTCTGTATGTTTTGCAATGCCAGGACATCTCTGCTGTAAATACATCTTAGCTAAGCCACGTCCTTGAATCTTCTGCTGCAGAGTCCACAAGTACATGTTTACATTCCTTGAGAGAGATTGATTGCCACACTCAATGGAAGACTTATCTTGCACACATCCAAGCCCTCAGGATCTGACACGATCGGAGTTTGGCGTTCTTCATTTCCCTTTCATCGAACTTGCCATTCTTTCACCCCAGAGAAATATCCCAAGTGAGTGAAAATATTTCCTCCTTCAGGACAAAAGGACTTTGTCCCTGACAAAAAAATATATGCTACAATGAATGGAATACGGCTCTGTAGACAAGGGGAGGATTTTATGATTTCTAATCCCCTGATATGGCTTCTATTTTTATCTCATCCTCTGCTATTTGCCTGTAAAGATCTACCGACCTCTTTTAACCAAGAGGCCTCCATATTCAAAGTGGAAAACAAAAAGCAGGTGGTGTTTTTTTTATTTATTTTTTAGAAACAACAACAATGGTTGGCACCTGCATACAATTCAAGTTTGAATATGCTGAAAAGTGTATTTATTTACTTCATAAATAGATTCATATGGCCACCCAACTCGCACACGGTGACTCAGGGTGGTATCCAGCCAGGGGTGGGCTTCAAAAATTTTAGCAAAGGGTCCTCTGCCTGGCAGCTCAGTGGGCATGGCCATGGTGGGCGTGGCCTAGTCGGCCTCCTGCATTACAGTGGAGGGGTGTTTTTGCCCTCCCCGGGCTCCGGAGGCTTTGCTCAAGACTCCAGGAAGGAGAAAATGGCCTCCCTGGGCTCCGGAGGCTTCCTGGAAGCCGGAAACAGAGCCATTTCCGGCCTTCCCGAACTTCCAGGAGGCCCGTTTTTTGCCCTCCCCGAGCCTCCGCATGTACCCTGCACTTACCTGCATCCAAAATGGGCCGCATGGAGACTCCGGGGAGGGGAGGGGTGGGGAGGGGCGGGCTAGACATTTGGAGGTTCTTCAAACTGCACAAAATCTTAGCTAGGGGCTTTCCCGAACGCCCACAAACTCCCAGCAGCACACCCCTGTGTACAGCACTTAAATATCTACAAAATAAAAACCCCAGAAACTCCCACCGCTTGAGATTGTGACAAATGCAATCATATAAGCCCTTTGATTGGCTCCAAAGCAACCTGGGTCTGCAGGCCTCCCGACAGAACCATGTTTTTAGGGCTTTCCAAAAAGTCTAGCTAGGAGGGGCCAATCTTATTTCCCAATGAATGATGTTCTGAAGGGAAGGAGCCACTACAGAGAAGGTCCTTCTAGGTTCCATCAGGTGTACTTCCTTAATAAATTGGATCCTCAATAGACCCTGGCTTCCCACTCTGGGAAGGTAGGCTGGGAAAATGCAACACGATTAGGATTAGGAATAGAATAGAATTAGAAACTTTATTGTCACTTTAAATGTACACTAATCAGCATACATTAAAACAAAATTTCATTGTATTCAGCTCTCAAAGAATAACCATTATGCATATGACATATGACACATCATAGATATATCACAGTATAGTGCAAATGTATACATATACTTGGGGGGGGGAAGAATGCTGCGAATTTACAAGACGGATGGCATAAGGAACAAAGCTGTTAGGAGGTAGTGGTAATTAAATAATGGAATAAAAAACAGGTAGGAATTGTTCCACAAACACATTATTCTCAAAAATAGGGGGAGGGGGGAAATCATGCAATAGATCCTGTCCCTTGAACAAGGTCCAGTTAGCACTGTAGCCAAAGTTTGCTGATCTCAGAAGCAGCACAGGACGCGCCTACTTCTTAGCTGGAAGATTGACCTGAGCAGTTAAAAAAAAACAATTTAGAAGAAGACAACAGCAAATTACTTTCAGTGTTATAGAAAACCTCCACATATTTATTTATAAAAAATTATAGCCTGCCCATCTTACCTCAAGGTAATTCTAGACATGCCCATGAAGTCACCAGGGGAGGTACTGGATTTGAGATGTTCTTCATGACTTTTATCAGCTAATTCAACTTTTAAGATTTATTAGAAGCAGCATATACAGGTAACCTGCAATTTACAACCACAATTGGGATTAGAGTTTCTGTTGCTAAGCGAGGCACCTGATTTTATATCTCTTTTGCTACAGTTAAGAAAACCAGTTAAGTGAATAAAGCCAGAGAGCTGCTGTAACTGTTGTGTGAAAAATAGTGACAAGTCACTTTTTTCAATGCTATTGTAACTTTGAACGGTCACTAAACAAATGGTGTTAAGTCAAGGCCTGACTTATATCTTATACTGTACTTTTATAGTCTATATATCCTCCGGATCCGAAGACTGCATTTTTCTACCTTCACTTTCAAATTCATCTAAGTCAGTCAACAATATTTCTTGTGGCAGCAACTTTCACATTTATCCATTGCAGAAAGCAGTGGATATAAAGAGCGCTGTTACCAAGCTTTTGGTGCATTTTTCCTTCCTCTAAACAAAAAATGGAAGCATGAAAATTTTACTTCCAAGAACTGTAAAAAGAAGAGTAAATATCCTTTAACAGTTATCTTGTGCATTTCTCTATGACTCAAAGAACACTGAAGAATCCAACGCAATGACTTCTACAAGTCTGTCACAAAGAATTTAATATCAGTTTCAGTCTCATAGTAAAACTGTTTTCCTCAAACGCTTCATGTGTGAAGGAGAACTTTGTCCCAGACCTTGAAAAAGTCCAGTTGGAAGGAGGAAGTTTACCCAAGGCAGACTCATGCAACAGGCACTCGGCAAGAAAAGGTAGCTCTCTCAGCTTGAATCGTGGTGTTAGAGGAAATGCAAGGCAGATATTTTTTTGACAGAGGACCAACATTTGCCATAAGGCTGGCAAGTTTCATGTACCTGCCTTCCCTACCATAACAACTCCTGCAAGTTAGCAGATCAGCAGAAAATCAGAATGTTGCTCAATGATTACCTGCAATGAGATCTCCCAAAGGTGTTAACAAGGAAGTCAGTGGTAGGATTCAGCCAGTTTGCACCAGTTTGGGAGAACCAGTTGTTAACTTTCTGAGCAGTTTGGTGAACTGGTTGTTGGAAGAAATCATTAGGGCAGAGAACTGGTTGTTAAATTATTTGAATCCCACCACTGAAGGAAGTCCAATTGCCTCTTGAAAAAGCACCTTTGGGACAACTATGACCTGGATGACTGAGAAGCTCCATATATATATTCTGCAATGAGATGATAATTTGCATTTCAATACGCTGAAGATCCTTGATTCAAGCATCTAGATAACTGAGGCTGGGTTCAACCAGCACTTATTCATGACTACCTGATGTCTTAAATTACTCCATTTCCAGGATTTGTGCCACACACACTGAACTACAGAGGCTGCAGGACGTCTGAATGATGGGCTTAGATGAAGTTTGGTTGTGGCCCCTGAACACACAGCCCCTGACTCCTGCTTAATCCTAGTTATCTGGCAGTGGCTCCTTGAAGGATGCATGTCTTTTAAGGCCTGAATGTAAATAGTGAGTTAACTAAGACATGATACCTAATCTCAGGGGCAGAGACAACCTCTGTCTGAACTTGCTGTTTACAAACTGCAATGTTTAGATCCTGCTAAACCAAAACGCGACTGCTTGTGAGCATTTGAAGTCAGTCAGTTGTGGTTATTTTCTAAACCAATGTTTTCTCCCCCCCCCCCCCCCCAGCGCTTTCTTCTTCTTTTTGTTCCTCTCAGGACCCCTTCCCACTTTTTAAAAAAAAAATATGGAGTGCCCCCCAAAAGCTTTCATTTGTATGGGCTACCTCCATCAAGATTTACCAGATTAATAATGAAAGTAGACCCATTCGCTGCCGCTTCTCACCCTTGTATGACGGGGTGCTATTTTTCAACGTAAGCTGGTAAATCGTTTTGATTTCGCGGACCCGTGAGAGGGTCGTGAGTCCCGGAGGAGCCCCCCCCACCCAAAAGTCCTGTGGGGACCCCATTTTGAGAAACTCTGCTCTAAGCCATGGCTCTGCAAGCCACACCAACAGGGTCTCCGACGCCTTTTCCTGCTCGTCCGACTGGCGCCCATGCTCAGCGCGGCTTAGCGATCTCAGCTCCCCTCGTCTCCCCTGGAGACCCTCCCCACCATTTCTGCCTCCTCAAAGCCCCACCCGGGCCGGGTGTCGTCATTTCCAGCGCTGGCGTCGCGCTGTCACATCCGCCTCCCCGGGAGGAGGGGGAGGAGGAGGAGGAGGCAGAGACGCCAGAGGGTGGGAGGCCCGGCGCAGCAGCGGCCGCTCGTTCCAACTTGCAGGCCCGACGCGTAATGCGGAGCGCAGGGGCGCCCGGTTGGAGCACCCAAGCGGGAGCCGGGAAACAACAGATCCGGGCCGGACGACGGCTTGGCGGCTGAGAGGGTCGGCCAACAGCAGAGGGGAACGGAGGACAGCCCACCTGCCCGCCGAAGGGAGAGAGACTCGCCAGCTGCCCTTCGAGGAGCCGGTGCGCGCCCAAGGCGACGGGGGAACCCCGCTGGCAACCGCGGACCAGCGGGCAGGCGCGGGTGACTACGGGCGGGACGGACGGACGGACGGGGCGGCAGGCTCAGGAGCCTCGCGGGGTCTGCCTGCCTTGCTGGCTGGCTGCCTTCCACGCTGGCAAAGGGAGAGTTTGGGGCGTCCGGGCGCGGATGCGCGCCGCCTCTCCATCCCTGGAGAGCATCGAGCCGGGGCGGCGGGCGGCGGCTTCAGCGCTTGCCGGGCGGATTTCTCCCGTATTCCGGACCGGTGCGGTGGTATCTGACGTCCGGGGCTCGCGTGTGTGTTTTGGGTCTCCCCCTTTTTGCAAGGGGAGGTGTGTTACTCGGTTCTCCCGGGCTGACGACCGACCTCTTGCCTTTATTTACGCCAAAGGGAGTGTGGGGGGGGATGGTCTTGCCGTGGCTGGCTGGGGAGCGTGTTTGCAGGGCTGCTCGGGAGGAGATCTGGGGGTGCCCGGCTCCCCAAAGTACCCTAGTTATTTCTCGTGTACATGTTTGTGTGTGTGTAGTGACAGCTCCGATGATGTCATATGCCGCTACGACCTCCGTTCTCCGCACGTTCGTTTTGTCCCTTCCGTAAAGAATCTTTCGCTGTCAATCCGGACCGTTGGAGAGAATTGCGCTCGGATTGCCACAATTCCCACCCTTCGTGGACTGGGCTCCGTTTCCAGCCACGAACAGTTTTGCGAGAGCGTCCGCTTGACCATGCTAACCGTGAAAACGCGCGGGGTTTACGCCAGGGGTGCTTACTCGGGAGAAAACCTCTCTTGATCGCTGTTCATGGTAGGTTCTAACTGACTGACGGGGTGGATTTTGCGGTTTCTGCATTGACACCCCCCCACCCCCGAGCCTTTTCAAAGCATCTCAACTACAGTGCCCATGATCCCCAGCAAGAAGAGTTTGGGATAATGGGATAAAGTTAGGCACGCTTGGAAAGTACCCTAGAGCAAAAGGCCTGCTTGACATTCTTAGAGGTAGTGCTGGCTGCAGATAATGGGTAGGATAAGGTAGTATGTGTGGAGGGGGGCTTTTGGAGTATGCAACTGAAGGGGAGGTGGTTGGGGACTTTGTGTAGAGGGAGAAGACCACTGGTTAAAATGTGTTGTGGGTCCATTTTGCTTTCCAATGACTCATGGAGTGCTGAGGGGGAGCTGTAGTGTTCTGTTAATGATATTCGTGTGGCCGCTGGGTATAAGTATGGCACAAGCAATGTGGGGTTTGGATTGGCTTTGGAGGCTCTGAAGCTGATGCAAGAGAGATGGGTGGATGCAGCCTTATTTTAAGCTACATGATTGTAGGTAGAAGCTTCACAGTTGCAAACACTTGCAGAAATTCAGTTGCTGCTGCTATTGTTATTTTTATTTTTTTCAAAGCAAGCAGATTGGTAGTGTCCTCCTACTCCTTTTTTTAAAAAAAAAAATATTGTAGATAATTTTAGGTATTTCTCAATCTTGGCCAGGTTAAGATTAGGTGGACTTCAACTCCCAGAATTCCCCAGCCAGCCATGCTGGCTGGGGAATTCTGGGAGTTGAAGTCCACTCATCTTAATGTTACCAAGATTGAGAATGTTATCAATATTAATGTTACCAAGGTGATCAGGAAGGAGTGTATTGGATCCTGCCTGGGTGAAGAACAGGTGTAGTTACATTATTCATAGGAGTTGGGGGAGGGATATTCTGTGAGTTGGTTGTACCACCATCAAGGTTGCATAGAAGTCTTTGGAAAGAATTAATGATCTGCCACATGACGTCATCATGCAAATGATTATATGCTTATCATGGACATGATGTAAAATTTGCAAGCTGTCTTGCCTATGAGAGTGGCGTCATGATGATTAATAAACCTAGTAGCTGTAGCATAAGACAAATTTTCTCTCTTCTTTACCAAAAAGTCAAGGAAGCCAAGGAAAACACTGGTGGTTTCCATATGCTGGCATATAAAGTTCAGATTGGGAGGCCAAAGTACTTGTTGCAAGGCTTGTGCTATCAATCTTTTTTCTGAATGAATCATACTAAACCCAAATTATAAGGGCTTTTTCCTTGAAATATTTATTTCCAGTCCTGATTAGAGAGTTTTGATAATGACCTCTGAGTCATGATTTTGATATCATTGTTTGTAGTGGACATTGATGCAGTACTGTGATGGTTCTACATTTATATCTTACTCTTTGGCCCAGTCAGAAGTCAAAAGTAAAAAAAATAAAAATCTCACATTAGGAACAAATCAAGTATAGAATTAGAGGGGTGGAAAACTTTTCTGTATTGAATGTGGTGAAAACAAAATGTTAATTATTTGGATTTATTATCAGTCTGGCACTGAACAGGAAATTCAGCTGGAGGCCTTGATGTTTATGGAGATTTATTATCATACAGGTCATGGTTGTCCCAAAAGTGTTTTTTTTTCCCCGAAAAGGAACTGGACTTTGTTGATTTTTTTTTCTTTGAAAACATTTCTCATCCAAGAAGCTTTTTTCAGTTAGAAAAGGCACCTTTAGGATGGCTTGGACGGCCTCTTGCTAATTCTAAGACAAGTAACAGTAACATACCCTGGGTTATATGATGTTCATATGATTGGCCTCTGGCTGGTTGGATTCACAGTTTCCATGAAACTTGCTTTACTTCATAAAAGCTGGCTAGGTAACTTTGGGCCAGTCACTCTTGCTTAGCCCAACCCACCACACGGGTGGTTGTTGTGAGGAAAATAGAAGGAGGAAGTTGTGTTGGATATATTCGCTACCTTGAGTTATTTATTAAAATAATAAAAGTGGGATATACTGTAAATAAATTTTAAAAAACCGCTGTTGGCTGGGATCATACAACTTAATGTCTTTAACTTAAGACATTACACGAAAGGTAAACAAGGCATAGGGTCTCTTTACATGAGGTGTGAATGCTGCCAGAACAAAGGTTATTGTAGGTCTGCTAAATTTAGATTAAGCTAGATTTAATCTGGGTTGGAGATTCCACACCCCATAAATTCCTTCTAATTTAAACCCTAAGATGAAAATACAATATGGTCAATTTTGTTCTGATCAGCTTTGTATATACACCCACATTTTCAATGTAATGCTGTAAAGCACACAACAGATTTATCAGAGTTAAGAGATTAACAGAGTTGGAAGGGACCTTGTAGATCATCTAGTCCAACCTCCTGCCCAAGCAGGAGACCCTACACCATTTCTGACAAATGGCAGTCTAATCTCTTCTTGAAACTCTCCAGTGATGAAGCTGCCACAACTTCCGAAGGCAAGCTGTTCTATTGGTTAACACAATGTTAACACAACACAAACAAGAATAAAGACAGAAAATAATAGAAAAGAAAACCGAAAAGAAAAAAAGAGAAGAACATACAATAATGCCTTCTGCCCTTCTATCTACCGTATTTGCCGGCGTATAAGACGACTTTTTTGCCCTGAAAAAGATGCCTCCAATTGGGGGGGTCGTCTTATATGCCGGGTCGTCTTATACGCCGGCAAATAGTAATTGGGAAGCACTGCGGCTGAGGCACTTTTGCGCACCGTGGAAACGAATCCCGTGAAGCCGAAAGGAGCAGCCAGCCTTCTCCCAGCTCCCAAGGAAACGAGGCTCGCACCGCCCGAGCTCCGCTGAGGTATCCGGCTGGGGCTGTCAGGAGTTGTTACCGCTGGCGCGGCTCCAGTCCCGCGTTGCCTCGGGAAGGGAAAGGCAAAACCAGGAGCCGTTGCTGCCATTGCAAAGCGCCGCCGCGGTTCTTCCTTTTTGCCTTTCCCTTCCCAAGGCAACGCGGGACTGGAGCCGCGCCAGCGGTAACAACTCCTGACAGCCCCAGACGGATACCTCAGCGGAGCCCGGGCGGTGCGAGCCTCGTTTCCTTTGGAGCTGGGAGAAGGCTGGCTGCTCCTTTCAGCTTCACGGGATTCGTTTCCACGGTAGACAAAAGTGCCTCAAAAAAAAAAAAAGTGCAAAAGTGGAAGGCGTGCGGAAGAGGGGGCGAGTATATAACAAACTATATTTTGAGTGGAAATGTTGGGGGGTCGTCTTATACGCCGGGTCGTCTTATACGCCGGCATATACGGTAGTCATTGTCATGTTAAACATTTCCTTAACTTCTTCCCCTCATTTTAATTCTCAAATCCCATAATCATCCATTCATTTTTCCTTCTTTCAGCAAAAAATCCATACAAGGGTTCCTGGTTTTTTTTAAAAAAGTATTTTATTATTCCACGCCCCCAACTAAACTAATCAACGGTGCCATTTCTGCAAGTTCAGTTAATGTTGTGATCTAATCTTCCACCTTATATTGTGTTCAGCTTTCATAGAAAAAGCCCCTTTCCTTTATGATATTTCTATTAGCGGAAATTGTATGGACGTGTTCATATCAATGTTTTGGTTAATCATTCATATGTGTGTGATAAATTAATGGCTGCAAATCAGGAATGAGTGAACACTTGTACATGTTAACCCCCTCCTTGCTCTCTTGTTAGGTAGGATGATCAACATTTTGAGAAGGTTATTAATGAGGCTGATTTCTGTGTGAAAGTTTATGGGTAGGCATGTTTTAAAGGGCCAGTGAACAGTTGAGTATTCCAAGTCCTATGTTACTCCTACTGCTCTAAGCTGCTTTCTTATCACTGAATAAGAATCACAAGGAATCTCAAGATCATATAGCCATGGGTGGGATTCTATTGGTTCAGACTGGTTCTATAGAACCGGTTGTTATGATTTTGCGCAGTTTGGAGAACCGGCAAATCGTTCCCCTGGCTGGCCCCGCCCCTCTCTGCCCTCCCCTCCCCTCCACGCCCAGTCAGTCCTTATCGTGCATGTGCAACATCGCGCACATGCCCAACATCGCTGACTGGGTTCTTCCTTGCCCAGTCACTCCTCAAGGTATTTTTTTCCCCCTCCCGACCATCAGTTGTTCCTATAATCAGCTGTGCCAGGAGTCCCTTCCTCGTCTTACTGCTTCGCCTAGGGGGCTTCCCTGAGGCCCAGAAAGCCAAAAAATGGAGGGGGTGGTGCGCTGCACACACACACCCTGCGCTCCATTTTTTGCCTTCCTGGGCCCCAGGGGAGCCTTCTGGGAGCAAAAATGCCCCCCCCCGAGGCTTCCCTGAGGCCCAGAAAGCCCAAAAATGAGGGGGGAGGGTTTTGCTGCAAAAAACCCACGCCTACCCAGTGACATGGCCACGCCCAACTAGCCACGCCCACAGAACCAGTTGTTTAAAAATTTGAATCCCACCCCTGCATATAGGACAGGGGTCCCAACCCATGGGCCATGACCCACTTCCAGGCGCAAAGCTCCGTTTGTGTGAGCATTGGATGCTCACACGCGTGTGCAAATGCCCCACCAAGCCAGAAAGACTGGGGAACCACTGATATAGAACACCTCTGAACTTGACTTAGAAGGAACTAGGAGACCACAGATGATATCAATAGATGGTTGAACTGTTTATTTGTTGCTGTTCAGTCGCTAAGTTATGTCTGACGCTTCACAACGCCATGGACCACGGCAGGCCAGGCTCTCTTGTCTTCCGCTCCCTCCCAGAGTTTGCCCAAATTCATGTTCATTGCGTTGATGACTCTATCTAACCAGCTGATCCTCTGCCGCCCCCTTCTCCTTTTACCTTCAGTCTTTCCCAATATCAGCGTCTTTGCCCACAAATCATCTCTTCTCCTTTGGTGGCCAGGCTATTTGGGTTTCAGCTTCAGTATCTTCCCCTTCCAAAGAAAAGTTAGGATTGGTTTTCTTTAGAAAGTTTTATTGGTTTTTTTTTTCTTCTTCTAGAGGTTAAGTAAAGCGTGGAATGGAAGTAGGAGGCAAACAGCTGTCATATCTTCCATTAAGACTCCAAAACTCCCAAATCATACCATTGAAATATGGCATTTTGCACCTGAATTTTGCTGGACCAATCCTGGGGCTGCTGTGACAACTGGCTGGGCTTCCACAGAGTATTTGATGACACTAGATTAGATAACTGTTTCCCAACTTTAACTATTTTAAGATGTGTGGACTTCAATTCCCAGAATACCTCAGCCAGCAACACATCTTAAAAATGCCCACAGATCTTAATAATGGCTACGGTTGGGAAATACAGCTGGTCCTCAACTTACGACTACAATTGAGCCCTAAAGGTTCCATTTTGCAACCTTTCTTGCCACAGTTGTTAAGTGAATCAATGCAGTTGTTAAATTAGTAACATGGATGTTAAGTGAATCTGGCTTCCCCTTTGGCTTTGTTTTCAGAAGGTCACAAAAAGTGATCACATGACCCCCGGCACATTGCAATCGTCATAAATACATGCCAGTTGCCAAGCGTCCGAGTTTGATCCCATGACCCCAGGAAGCTGTGACTTTGAACCGTCAGTAAACGAACGGTTGTAAGCTGAGGACTACTTGTATTGGATTAGATTTCACTTTGTGAGCTTATTTCACTATGTAAGCAGCCTAAACTTGCCTCCAGATGAAACGAGGGGCATATCCAGTAAGAAGATCCCCTGAAATCAATAAACTCCGACCATTCCCATTGTCTTTATTGGATCTCCTTGATGGGGGGGAAAAATTAATTTCCTCTTTTGTTTTTTTTTTAGGATCCTGTGCAGCGAAACTCATGTGCAGAGAGACACTTCAAGATTCTCTATGCTGGAATGCAGGACCCCTCAGATATGGCTGTTCTGAGAGGACATGTGCTAAAGACTTGCTGTATTTCACTGGAGGCTGAAATATTTCCTTAACTGGTTGGATTGCCTGCTTGTGGGACTCCTTCCCTGAATATTATTACCCTGTGCCCCATAGTCCCTCCCCTTGATTCCACCCGCGGCCATGAATGGGCTGACGGTCAGTGAACTCTGCTGCCTCTTCTGCTGCCCACCGTGCCCTAGTCGAATCGCTGCCAAGCTGGCCTTCCTACCTCCAGACCCCACCTATACAATTGTCCCAGAGCCAGAGCCTGCGGGCACCGCCAGCAGCGCCTCCGCCCGGGGTGGCCCCATGGCTCGCTGGAAGCTTCATTTGACGGACCGGGCCGATTTCCAATACACCCAACGAGAACTGGACACCGTCGAGGTGTTCCTTACCAAAAGCAGCCGAGGGAACCGAGTGAGTTGCATGTATGTCCGCTGCGTACCTGGCGCCAGGTGAGCACATCGGAAAAGAGGTGTGGCAGTGGCAGTGCGGTGTCTGGGATATTGGGTTTATGTCCATGACTGAACAACCATTTGTTTAGAGCAAGGGTCTCCAACTTTGGCCACTTTAAGACTTGTGGACTTCAACTCCCAGCTGAGGAATTCTGGGAGTTGAAGTCCACAAGTCTTAAAGTGCCGAAGGTTGGAGACCCCTGGCGGGGGTCTCCAACCCCTTTAGTGGCGAGTGCAACTTAACAACAACACTGAAAAAAGCTGGTGATGACCCAGTTTTCAAACTGTTGCAGCATTCCCATGGTCACATGATCAATATTCAACACTTGGCAACTGGCATGTATTTATGACCTTGCGGTGTCCCGGAGTCATGTGATCACCTTTTGCCACCTCCTGACAAAGTTAATGAGGAAGTCAGATTCGCTTATATTATTGTTACTATTTTAAAAAATGGCAGTGATTCACTTAACAATGGTGGCAAGAAAGATTGAACAATGCAGCAAAAAGTCATTTAACAACTGTCTTGCTTAGCGATGGAAATTTGGGGCTCAGTTGTGGTTGTAAGTCGAGGACCACCTGTAGAACTGTGCAAGTCAGACTAATGGAATAACAGAATTGGAAGGGACCTTGGAGGTCTTCTAGTCCAACCCCCTGCTCAAGCAGGAAAACCTATATCATCTCAATCAAATGGTTGTCCAATCTCTTCTTAAAAACTTCCAGTGTTGGAGCATTTACAACTTCTGGAGGCAAATTGTTCCACTGATCAATTGTTCTAACTATCAGGAAATTTCTCCTTAGTTCTAAGTTGCTTCTCTCCTTGATTAGTTTCCACCCATTGTTTCTTGTCCTGCCCTCAGGTGCTTTGAAGAATAGCTTGACTCCCTCTTCTCTGTGGCAGCCCCTGAGATATCAGAACATTGCTATCATGTCTCCCCTAGTCCTTCTCTTCATCAGATTGGACATACCCAATTCCTGTAACTGTTCTTCATATGTTTTAACCTCCAGTCTCCTAATCATCTTTGTTGCTCTTCTCTGCACTCTTTCTAGAGTTTCAGCAAGTCCTTGTTAGAGGTCAGGATGCTAAATGTGAATTTTCAGGGATTCCATCTCAGTTTCCGAAGCCGTTCTCACGGAATTGTGGGAGGCCCAGCATTCCTTTGCTAGGCTGAGGGCACCAGTCCTTCTGTTATTGAAGAAACAGGCTGGCAGGTCCTCTGTTAAGGTGATAGTTTGAGCCAGCGATCATTGTTGGTGACATTTGGGGGAGGGGGAGGGGGGGAAAGACTGAATTGACTAAGCACAGTTAAACAACGAAGTTAAGAACATCAGCCTTGCTCAAAGCTGCTTAATTGAGTTAATCTGGGGCTGTCGTTTGGTGTATAAATTCTTGCTATGTTGCAGGTGCCTCCGGATAATCATAAGCTTGGAACTGAAAGGAGCTTGTGACCTCTCCCCCCACTGCCCCTCCACCACCTCATTTTTTTAAAAAATAGAGGTTGCTCAGACAACTGGAAAGCTCAAGGAGATTGGCCCCCCCGCACCTTTGTAGTCTGTTTCCATGACAGTGTAAAAAACAAAACAAACCTTCATAGGTGCAGGAATTAAGCCCCTTGAGAGCTTAACATGTCAGGCTTAATTTTGCCAGAAGAGTCCCAGTGTTTATTCCGTGCGGTGAAAATTATCAAAGTTTAATTAAATAAGATTGGGGCCTGGCTGCTGGGGGTCACCAGGGCCCAGTTCTCAAGGGAATCGAGCACGGGTGACGTACTTAGAACATGTGAGCTGCAAGTGGGAAGTTTTACCCTCTGCTTCAAACTTTTGCAGCTCAACTTGCTTTCCCTCCCATTTATTACCAATACAAGCATGCAAGCAATCCTCCACTTACAACCGTTTGTTTGGTGGCAGTTCAAAGTTGCAGTGGCACTGAAAAAACAACAACTTATTGTCAATTCTCATTTAACCCTTGCAGCGTTCCATGATTAAAATTCAGGTGCTTGGCAACTGGCACGGATTTACAATCGTTGCAGTGTCCCGTTGCAGGCCTAGGGAGATTCTCAGTCATCCAGATCATGGTTGTCCCAAAGGTGCTTTTTTTCAAGAGGCAAATGGACTTTCTTGTTCTTTTCTTTGAAGACATTTTGTTTCTCATCCAAGAAGCTTCTTCAGCTCTGACTGGGGTGGTGGGGAATGGAAGGATTCATTTGCATCCTTTTAGAGAGCCGTTGAGGCCACCTGTGTCCTCAGGGTCACCTGAGTGGTGCAAATGGGTGTGGAGCCTTCTTGGATCTGCTGAAAAGACTTGTTGTAGACTGGAGATAGATGATGTCGTATCCTGCCCCCCATCTGTTGAGAGAAGGCTGTTCAGTTTTGACATAGATGGCCTCTTTAACCCCTCTTTCAAGCCAGAGGTCTTCTATCTCTCTATCTCTCTATCTTCTCTCTGTCTTCTCTCTGTCTTCTATCTATCTCCAGTTTACAACCCAGTCCTTTCAGCAGTTCCAAGAAGGCTCCACACCCATTTGCACTACTCAGGTGACCCTGCGAACCCAGATAAATCTCCAAGTGGCCTCAATGACTCTAAAAAAAAGAATACAAATGACCAGCTGTCTGCAAGGAATATAAATCCTTCCATTCCCCACCATCCAGTCAGAGCTGAAGAAGCTTCTTGGGTGAGAAGTGAGACGTCTTCAAAGAAAGAATAAGAAAGTCCAGTTGCCTCCTGAAAAAGCACCTTTGGGACAGCTTCTGAAAAGAAAATAAATGCAACCACATGATTCCCTTAACAATTGTGGCAAAAAGGGGCATGAGTCACTTAATAACTATCTTGCTTAGCAACAAAAATGTTGGGCTCAATTGTGATCATAGCTGTGCAGGCTCCTTTACAGATTTACCTAGAAGTAAATTTTACTGACTCGAGGGGAAGGTGTTTCCAGGTAAGCAAAACCAGAACTGAACTGGCAAAGAGAGTCTGGATAGGTTGGACACAGTAACTGGAAGATAAATGTATATTAAAAAAAGGTTACTATTATATTTATGATTGTTTACTTCCCATCTATTTGCTGATTTCTAGATATTATGAAACATGAAGAATGAGACACGGGGCAATAAAACCAAGAAAAATCAGCATCAGCATTAGCAAGGATTGTGATACTAATAAATAATGATTCTGAGGTCCTTGGGAAGGACTTGACAGGTAGATAAAAATGCCAAATCCATTCTGGCTAACTGTGAGACGAACCATAATAATAAATATACGATGAGGGGAAAACCCCCCACCATAAATCGAACCCCTGAACAGGCAATATAAAGTTTCTAAAAGCACTTATAAATGATTTTAGAAATGGAAAGAATAACATGGCCTTTAACCAGGCATCCCAGAATTCAATTTATTTTTTTTAGCAACCGTAACGTAAAATCAGAGCAATCAGAAAATATCCTCAAAAGTAGCAGCTTCTCTTTCTAAATAGGATATTTATGTTGAAGTTGCCTGCATGTGGTTAAGTTGAAATGAGATTTAATAAACGGAGGAGGTTCTGTCCTGGGTGGGCCTTTCCTTTCCAGTGTTTCTCAACTTGGCAAGTTTAAGATGTGTGGACTTCAAGTCTAGGAACTCTGGGATTTGAAGTCCACGCATCTTTTTTTCTTTATTACTTATCTTTTTTTTTAATTTAAGTTTTTATTGGTTTTTAAAAACAAACATAAACAAACAAAACATAAAAACATCAAGCCATCTTCCATATGTGTACATACAGTGTGCCGGTTGGTTTACAAATTGTTTTGTGCTTCCATTTCGTAGTCTTCAATTACAATTACATTGCATATAATCTCGTATTTTCAATCAAAAATTAAATACCTTAGTATCATTATTAATCAATCATTTGACTATACTTTTATTCATTCATGTTTTACAAGATAATCATAATTTACTTAGTTTGTTTTATAACAGTTCATATTATCATCCCAAATCTATCCTAAAATCATTTTGTAGATATAAGAAAGAAATACATCTTTATATATTTATTATTTTCTAAGAGTCTACATATTTCATTACTGTATTTTATTGTCTAACCATTGATAGAATAGATCCCAGATTTTATAAAATTGTTTATCCTCTTGTTCTCTAATTTCAAATGTCAATCTACTCATTTCAGCACATTCCAATATTTTCTTAATGATTTCCTCCTGTGATGGTATTTTCTCATTTTTCCAGTTTTTGGCAAATACAATCCTAGCCCTGTTAATACATTTACAATCAGATATTTCAAGTCTTTACTATATATT